CCGTATAGGTCACATGAGAAGAAGGAATTAACCTGGAGTGCTAAATTAATCCTGAGCCGCTGACTTTGCAGCAGGCTGTGAGGCCAATTAAAGTTGTTTTATCATTTGATTTATTTGTGATCGGTCTTTTAACTAAAATGGCAAAAGTCTGGTGTTGTTTCCGTCTGCCTCTGAATATGTAACCTTGCACAAAGGCTTTGACTTCTTCTTCTCCTTCACCCGCACTGATATGAAGGTTTTCTCTGAGTGGCGACACCTGTGATTCAGGAGAATATCGCAGGAAATGCTCACATCCTCAGTGCTGGTGTAAACATGACAGACCTGTGGCTAAAAGACTGTTTACGTACAACACGACCATGGTAGCTTTTAATGTCAAAGTGACATGTTGTTGAAACGGTGAAGTTCTCTCCCGCCTCTCCAGAGACCCGATGCTGGCAGCGAGTCTTTTGGCTCGGTGACCAATATAATATCTCAACCCTTAACGCTGCGGTCAGAGCGCCAAGAGCATAGGAATAGTGCCGCATGCTTTTCCACACCATACACACAGTATATAGTGCAGTGCCAGTGGAAAAACCCAGCTTTACTGTGTTTGTGTTTGTGTCTGTGAGAGTGTGTGTGTGTGTCTATTTGTGCCTTCCTCATTCCCTTCAGGCCATCCAGTGTTACATGAAGGGTAGTGTGTGTTTTATGACCTGCCACTGCAGAGTCAAGTATCTGAGGTGTGAGCTGCTTCAGATGGAGGCGGTGTCTCCGGGCCCTTTGATATGGAGGACAGGCAGAAATGTGGGAACAGAGAACAGTTCAACAACACACACAAACACGTAACACACACAACATAAGGAAATGTTAAAAACCTTTTCCCAATTTAAGGAAGCAGTTTAAAGATTAAAAACACTGTGTGTGTGCTCTGTCTGTGGTGGTTGTCTCACTTTTGGTAACAGATCTGATTTTATTGTTAACAAAGATTAGGGTCCACTCTGACTGCTTTGTACCTACAGATTTAGACTATTAACATATAAAGCCTTTGGGTCCATTCACTTTAAAGGGACCGTGTGTAAAATCTCTCCATTAGACATCAGTAGATTACAGATTCTGGTCAACTGACTTCTGTTTTCTCCCAATTCATGTGCATCATCTTAGCTACAGTGGTGAACGTTCATCTTTAGTGAGTGTGCGACGTTAGTCTGCTGTCAGTGTGCCGGGTGGCGACGTCTAAAACTTTGCGAAAGGAGTTCGATACAAGTCGATGAGTCAGTGAAGCTCACAGTGAGGATTTTCTGAACTTCTCTGTTAATAAACGCTGGCGTTAGCTGCTGTTAGCCAGCATTAGTGAAACTTTCCTTGAAATGTATCGAACATTGTTGAGCTCATAGTGAAACTTGGCAAATAAACTCTCACTTCTTCCCTGAGCTGCGACCCACAACCATTGTCCTGGATAGGAAGAGCAAATCTAACTGTCCCCCACCCCACCCCCACCCTGGCAAACTGGCACCACCTTCCAAATACCTCTAGACTAATTAGGTCTGAAATCAAACTCTGTTTGTCCTCGCTGGACCTCCAGCACTGTCACGGACTTAGGCCAGGACCAGAGGGAAGACTTTATATATAGAGTATAGAGGGATTTGGATGGGGCGGTTGAGATGATTTGGGCTTTGTGACATGGGCTATAAGAGGGCTTTGATTAGAATTCTGATTAGTG